GAAGAGAGAAGAATATCATTTCTGCAGTTCCAATCAGCCACGAATTGGAGGGTGTTCTACACTAGTTCCTGGCTCAGACCAAATAGCAGTTGTTCATCCAAACAAAAGCGTGCGGGGCAAGAAGGACAGGAGCATTTTGTTGTGGTATCACGCAATCACTAACTCACTGTAATTCCAATTGAGAGCGCATTTGTCATCGAGGTCGAAAGAGGCATTCTCGAGCATATCCTTCTTGTAAATTGGATACATGATGGCATCGGCTCGTTTACTGTGGCCAAGCCCTAGGGAATGACCAATCTCGTGAATAAAGACATTGGAGAATGAAGTACCATCAGTCCCGCCATCAGTGATCCATTTTTCAGCATCGTCTGCAAAAAGCGATGCCAATAACAAAAAAAAAGTAGGAAATAACTCCACTTGTGGATTACTCAAATCAAGCCCTCCTCCAAAACCCTCTCTTTTTCAAGAGAAAGAGCTTTGCTCAGTTTTCTGACGTATGTTCGAGACACTGAGAACACCACACCAATGAAAAGGGCAGTACTGATAGCACCTTCATAAGATTTACTGGTATCTAATTGTTTAGAAAGCTATCAGCTTATTTTTGTTTTTTGTCTGTATCTTGAAGCCGAAACAGAAACTTCGTTCTTTACGCAAATACACATTTTTACGTTCAAAAACTTTTTTCTTATAGGATTTTATTACAGTTTTTTATTTTCTTCACCATCGCCTAATATGACCTTTTAGCACTGTATTGTTATTTGATCCTACTAGCGCTTTACTAATCATAAAAATTGATGCCAAATCTATCTCACAAGAAAGCAAACGCAGGCTGGCTCCAAAGAAGTTGCTCTAAAAAGCTGAAAGCCATGTATTTTCCGTTCAGTACGGTTCTGAATTTTCCTGCTCTTAGAGTCCTATGTTTTCCTAGGCTGGTTATAATTTCTTGCACAGTTGATTCTACGAGTGATACCATTTTAGCAAAGGGGGTCCACGGTAATTGGCTCAGGATCCACATAAATAGTGGAAAGACGATGATCGAGCCAGGATTTCTTTCCGGAGACAAAGGAAATTCTATCAGCAAGTGGTGCAGGTTCGGCCATCAGAAAAATGGCGTAGCTTCCGCATGTACAAATAGTGTGAAGACATATTAAGCTCATAGACAGTCGAGAATAAAATGTCACAAATTAAGTTAATTTCATATGATTAAAACGTCAGTAGTGAAATTAAAAACTGTAAAACACGATCTGGCATAAAATTCTTGTTTACGTTGCTTGTTGCGGCAAAGAACGGAGCAAGAATCAAAAATGCGACACATTTTTTTCGTATTTATATGCTACTTTGCTCGTTTTGCAATTTATGTGCCCACCGCTCAGTTCTAAAAACTCACTTTTATCTGGGTGGCACCATTTACTGACGCGCGATA